ATATATATATATATATAGTTTTGCATCACCTGTGGCACTGCCTAAACTGAGCTTTTTGAAATATTGGACTTACTTTCCATTTCACTCAAATCTCTAGGGACACAGAAGCCCCCGTCTGGGGACTCTCTCAAGCCAGAAAGGATGGCAGGATGTGGGGACTCTGTATGCACCTTAAAAGATTTTCACAAGTTGGTTTCATCCACATGTTGTTATCATGCTGGTAGGCGAGAAACTCTTTCTGCTCTTTGTTGTGCCTTCTGGCCACCTCCAACCTCTGTGGCAGTGTTTCCGTCCTCTCCGTCCCTCAGAGCTGGGCTTCCCACCACACAGTGTCTGTCCCTCACACAGACATGTCACATCTGAGCAGCTGACACTGCCGAGCACGTCATGGTGAACGATATTGCAGGGTGCAGTACCTGTCCAAGGATGCTCACGAGCATTTGGGGACAGAGGATGCAAAGAACAGTTCAAAGGCAGCCTGAGCTAAAGTTGCAGGACATCATTAATGGCCTAAGTCATTGTAAGAACTGAAGCAACAACACTGGTTTTGTCTTTCTGATGGGCCCTGAACTTCACGCCAACTGCACAGGTAGATGGACAGAGAGGACACTGGTGTCTTGCCTTTACAGATGATGCAAGCAACAACATCATTGTTCTGTCTGCTCTACTGACGAAAAAACAGTGAGATGTTTTTCACAGCTTAGACCGGTATAAAAAGCAGATGATCTTGATTCTGCCCAACTGCAGATTTCTGAAGATAGAGGAGACAGCCATGACGTCACACTGAGATGATTCTAAACTGTATCTTTGGGACTGGAGGTATAACTCGGTGGTACAGCGCTTGCCTAGCATGCATGAGGGCCTGTGTTTCATCCCCAGCACACCCCTATATACGCAAGAGAAAGAGAGACAGAGACAGAGACAAAGACAGGCCAGGTCTCCGTGAGATGGGATTCAGATGGAGGAAGATGATGGCGGTACGAATTCCAGGCAGCTGGAACTCGCGGGAAAATGAAGCCACAAAGCGGGGCAGAAGCCGGCAGCCAGCCTGTCTCGGGCCTGACGGCTCCCGGTAACACCTTCTCCTTGTGTGTCCACAGGCGCTGGCCGTGGCCGGCCTGAGCCCCCTCCTCCAGAGAAGCCATTCCCCGACCACGTTCCCCAGGCCGAGCGCCACGCCCCCCGCCACGCCCGCGAGCCGAGCCTGGGCCCCGCAGCCCATCCCCACCCTGCGGCTAGAGGGCGCCGAGTCCAGCGAGAAACTCAACAGCAGCTTCCCGTCCATCCACTGCAGCTCCTGGTCAGAGGATGCCAGCCCCTGTGGCGGGGGCAGCAGCACAGCACGGAGAGCCCGGCCCGTCTCCCTCATGGTGCCCAGCCAGGCCGGGGCCCCGGGGAGACAGTTCCACGGCAGTGCCAGCAGCCTGGTAGAGGCGGTAGGTGACCCTGAGCTGCGCAGCGAACAGGGAGGGAGAGGCCAAGGAGAATAGAGAGGGGAGCAGCCGGTTTATGCCCAAGTAGTTTGGATGTCAAGTCTGAGGCACAAAGACCCTCCCTCAGAGACCTCGCACGATGCCGTTGGTTTCCGTGAGGCTGGCCTGATGTAGAAGGAGAAAGAAACCCCTGAGCAGTGCCCCCTGCCACAGGCCAGCGAGGCCCTGGAAAGCCAGCATCATGCCGTGAATGCTCAGTGCCCCGGTGTGCTCGGGCTGCACATCTGTACAGAACAGGTCAGGATTGCTGGTTCTCAGCCCCTAGCACTCAGGAGAATCCCCGAGGAGCTCTGGCGACCCATAACACGTGCAGCTACTTTGCAAAGCCTGTGACGACTGAAGTGCACCCAGGGTTAAGAGCCCCTAGTCTGGAACAAAAGAGCTCCCGTTCCACTAGCCTCTGCGAGGTCTGAGCATCTCGTTCAATCCTAGCACCCCACTGTAGGGGGCCTTTGACAAACTGAACCCAACCCAAGGGAGGATGACCAGGATGGCAAAGGCCTTAGAAACCTGGGAGAACGGGTAGGGGGCAGAGGTAAGAGAAATAAACCTTCGGAGAGACTTAAGAGGCTGTGACACTCATCTCACCCTGTCACAGGCAGCTTAGGTGGGCCGGAAACTGGCAGGCAGGACTGGAGTGATTATTTCAGCCTGACAGGTGGCTGTTTTCAGCTCACCAGAGGAGGACTGCCCAAAGAACTCTCCCCAAATGAGGAGGGCTTCCTATAAACCAGTGGGCCCCATCAGTGGGCATATGCAGGCAGAGACATGCCCACCTGATCGTCAGACCGCCAGGTGACTTCTGCAGTCCCTCGTGCCTCCACAGCACTGAGGCTTCACTTGAACGTGGTTGTCCTTCATTCATTTTCCAGACTTTTTTCAAGACCCTACCACCTGCAGGCAGTGGCATAGGTGCAGGAAGACAGCTGAAAAATAGAGCCCTCTCATGGGCTCATGTTGTGGTTAGGAGAGGCAGGAAATACATAAACATGCCTGAAACATGTCAGGAAAGGGCAGGACCACTAAGGAAACGTAAAGTAGGATCAAGAGAAAAGAGTAAGGTGAGTAGAGGAGCAAGACAAGCAGACACCTAGAGAACAACATGCCAGGCTGGGCCCACCTGCTCCCTCCCACGCCTGCCTTAGGAGCTGGTGCTCCCCCAGCTCAGTGACGCGAGCCTTTTAGGGCTTTCAGTGATACAAATAGCCTGCTGCAGCACCACCACTGCACCTAGCTGGTCCCTAAAGCAGCTTGGGGTCACCTTCTGGCCCTTCAAAGCAGAAGGAGGCAGGTGCAGGCAAAGCGTTTTGCACACATCCTACTCTAGGACCCAGGCCCCCAGGAAGGCAGCCAGCTGGCTAGGGATGGGTATAAGGGCTAACAGTTTCATCAAAGGAAAAATGAAAGTTTCTTTGCAAGAAAAAGTGCAGACATCTGGAGTTGCCAGGGAGGAGGAAAGAAAAGGGGAGGCTGAGAACTGCCTAGGAAATAGCAGAGGAGAGCTTCCATGCTCCCTCTAGGAGCCAAGTTTCCGTGTATTTGATGACAGTTTTTGAATAACCCACCCACAGCTTCTCTCCTCCACTCTCTGCATCCATAATTCCTTTGGCAGATGCTCCATCTCCTTTTCTATGAGCATCCCTACATGTGTGTGCACACCCACAGGCACACGAGCACATGCTCACACATGCACCTATATACATAGACAAAAATACATGCATCCACACTTATGCATGCTCGTAGATAGACCAATACACACATGCACACATAAAAACAGTCAATACATGCATGTGTCTACGAACATACCTACACACACACACACATACACTTGTGTATGTGGATATACACATGCCTGTATACATACACACGTGCACACGCACACTACCGGCAGTCACAGTCCGAAGCCCTGTACTCTCACCCTGGAGGGAACGGTGAGCTCCAGTGACCTTGCTCCTCTTCCGTCTTCCCCACGTTCCTCCCCTGCAGGTCTTGATTTCAGAAGGACTGGGTCAGTTTGCTCAAGATCCCAAGTTCATCGAGGTCGCAACCCAGGAGCTGGCTGACGCCTGCGATATGACCATAGAGGAGATGGAGAACGCAGCCGACAACATCCTCAGCGGGGGCGGCCCTCAGAGCCCCAACGGCACCCTCTTACCTTTTGTGAACTGCAGGGACCCAGGGCAGGACCGGGCGGGCGGCGGCGACGAGGACGAGGGCTGTGCGCGCGCCCTGGGGCGCGGCCGGAGCGAGGAGGAGCTCGCGGACAGCAGGGTCCACGTCCGCAGCCTGTAGCCGCCAGGGCTGGGGAGACGCCGGGTTTTTATTTGTTTCAATGTTCCTAATGGGTTCGTTTCAGAAGTGCCTCACTGTTCTCGTGACCTGGAGTTAACCGGAACAGCGTCTTCATTCATTCCTGTCGGGACGAGACGCAGAGTTGGGTGGTGTGCAGAGTCGCTTTTCAGGGGGAAGAGAAGCCGCCAGGCCGCGCGTGCACAGAGGGGAGGCGCGGAGGTGCGAGGGCCCGGGCGGGGAGAACCTCGGCCTCCTGCGGGGGCCCTCACCGAAAGGACGCTATGCCAAACGGGTGTCTTTCAACTTTGCTTGTAAAAAAAAAGAAAATCATTTGCACATATTCTGTATGAGCCTCACTGTCTCCGGAGAGCCAGGGCCCGGGCAGAGGGAGTGGGGCCCGACCCGCGAGGGTCCCAGCGCCCCGGAGCCGCACAAGGGCGGCGCGAGGCGGCGGAGCGCGCGGGCATAGGCGCGCGGCCCGGCAGAGGGCAGAGAGGCCGCCCCGCTCCCCGCGCCCCGCGCCCCGCGCCCCGCGGCCCGCCCCAGGTCGCTCTCCCAGCGCCCGCTCCAGTCCCGCAGCCCGGCCGCAGGTGGCGCAGGGACGAGTGGCGGGCGCTGCCCCGGGCCCTGCCGCGGCCTTGGCCGGACCAGGTGGTGCTGTGAGCTAGCTTGTCGAGCGCTCTTTTGTTTGGTGGTTTGGAATTTTTCTTGACAGCATGTTGCAGTTTTCGGATTTTGTTTGTTTTCTGATTTTATTTCATTTCTGTTTTGTTTTGTTTTCCCTGGGGGAGGGGAGGAAGAAGAGAGTTTGCAAATTTTTGTAGCTGCCCACCTTACTGTTTTCACTTTTGCATATGTAAATCAGGTTTGGTTTTACTGTATTCTTTAAATGGTTGTGGTTTCCTTTTTCCATTTTCCACGGAGGGAGGGCTCAATAGAAGCCGCGCTCGGGGAGTTTTACCCGCCATTGGGTATGCCCAATAATTTGTCATTATTTCCTTAGGTAGTAACAGGGTCTTTTTCTTTCTTTCTGGATTGGGTGGGATTTATATTTTTAAAGATAATTGGCAATGCACTTGATATGGTCTTGCACCTGTGAGCGATTGAGCTGGTTCCTTTTCAGGCTGGGTGTGTGGAGGGGGTGCAAGAGAGGAAGGTGAGAGCCTCTGCGAGTGGGCTGTGCGTGCGTGTGGCAGTGGGCTGACCGAGTGCGTGTGTCCTCCGATTGCACCTGCACCCGCACTGTGCCTATGTGCACGAATGAGTCCAAACCTCCCCCTTGCTGGCTTCAGGGTGGGGAGATCTGAATCTGGGGCCATCTGAAAGCAAAAACAAACCACTGTCTGCTTCTGAAACGGGAATCAGTAACTGCATTTTCTGTCCCACAAGATATGCAAAAACAATGCAATAATATTCATTTTAAACATACAATTGTGAGTTGTGTTGGCATTAAAACTGTATTAAAAAAACACACAGAAATTTAAGGGAAAAACTCAAGAAGGCATTTTGCTTCGATATATTCCGTGTAATGTTTTATTGCATTGATAATGTTTCTGTTGAAGAAACCGTTATACTTGAATTCAGGTCAGTTTCAGTATTTTTCAAATATTTTTTTAAAACTGAATTGCAATTGTGCCAAGCGAATATAATGAATTGAATTGTTTGTTTTTGAATTCACTTCTTGTATATTTTGCTGCATGTAAAGTAAATCATTTTGTATTTGGAGTGTGGCAAGCTTTACCTTTGAGCTCTTAAGTGCTTTTCTCTATATGGTTGGGGAAAAGGGAATGATTTTTCATTTGTGCAATGAGCAAAGGCATCTTCAGTGTAAGTCATTATTCTATCCACAACAGGTTTGGATGTTACTGTTTTGCATATCTTGTGTTCACTTCCATTGCCCTTGATTTTGCCAAAATCCTGGAATAGGTATATTTGTATCACATCTTGCTCTGAGATAGCAGGACACACCTCATTTGGGTCTTCAGTCTCTCCACTGATTTGGTAATTGTCTAAGGGGAGCCTTGCCATTAGGTGCAGTGAGGCATCAGTATCCTCTGGGAAAGAGGTGGCTGGTTTTTCCAGTCACTCGAAGCACAAATCTTTGGTTTCCTCACACTGACTAAGAAGATGAAATTCAAGTCAGCTAGTGGGAGAGGAGGGGCAGCCTCACTTCTGACAACTGGTCTACCCAACTGCAGCTAGCAGGGGCTAGAGAGAAGTCCCCAGGTAAGACCATGACCCACCCAGAAATTGCTCTTTTTTTGTACTCACATCATCCTTTCCTCAGGATGCAGGATTTCCCTAAACCTCCTCTAATGTTTGTAGTAGTAAAGGGAGGGACCTGGACAAGGGAGGGAGCATCAGGAGCCAACAGTGGTGGAGGAAACAGACTTTTCGAGGGCTTATTTGCATCTACCTGGAGCATCACTCTATTGGTGCTGCGTCCTTTAATTATATTTCAGCAGCGATGGCTGAAAAAGGACTGATTTAGGGAAAATAGGACCCAACCATTCACTCAGAATTTACCCATTGGAAAAAAAAAAAAGAATTTACCCATTGACTTTTTTCAGTCCCAGTGTTCCTTTGGTCCTCTTTGGCACTTACATGAGCTCGCTAGAGATTCCAGGAGGGGACATTCCATTCCCCGGTGAAGATGAGTTATACTTTCACAGACTGATTTATGAAAAAGCAGAGAAATGTGCCTGATACTCCCTGATTAAACAGTCTATAAACAGCATTTCTTTGTGGTTTTCCACACTTCACGCACCCAAATATTTATGGTTCTTGTTCCATACCAACAAGATCCTTTAGAAATTAAAGTTAAGTGGCTTCCTTGTCCAGTTTCCAAAAATGTCTACCACTCCTCAGGTTTTAATTTTGATGGAGAGAGGAGTCCTTTCGAACCAGTATCTGGTTCTTGCTGTACATTTGGCCCCTAGACAGAAAAGTGGAATTTTGATTGATTCTACCATACACCTGCTCTCCCTCTTCATGCTCTCCTATATTGTTTTGAACTTTTGATACACATCACCAAGTCTCACTGGGTACTTGGGCTACAGAGGGTGCTCCTGTCAACAACTCACAGGGTCCCACCCTTTGTGGCTTGCCAGCCCTGCTTCATGCACACCCACAGGCCACCTTCGCCTTCATAGACAACACTGGCAAAAAAAAATCCAGTGGAGCCTGTCCCATGTGTCCTGTGAGAATGGTGACCACAGGGGCACAAAGCTCCTTGCCCACGCCTGGGAGTTCCCTCTCTAGAGCAGTAGGTCTTTGTTAGCTTGACCTCACAATCAACTAGTGTAAGACTGACATGTGATGCCCATCCCCATGGCAGAGTAGCAAAATCATTGAACTAAATCCACAATGGATTAAGTATGTTGTCCCCTGTCCATCTAAGATGGAATTGTCCCCATGACTGTGTCCAGCATAATCATCAAATGTTCTGTAGCCCTTCTGACAATGCTTGAGGGCTTCTGACAATCAGAAGGACTCTGAGGAGTACAGGTTACATTCCATAGTTTGGAAATCTTCGTGTTTATTTGCTGTCTGACTAGCCCTGCCTCCTTTATTTCCAGACATTGGTCTTTTAGTAATTTTTCATGTGCATGGACACATTAAGCAGAAAGAGCTCCAGCTGCTTCTTTTCTGCCTGATTCTAGAAGGTTCTTTAAGTTGTGAGATTAAGAAAAGAGAGATGGTACTGGGGATTTAGCCCAGTGTAGAATGCTTGTCGGGCAAGCATGAGGCCCTGAGTTCGGTCATCAGCACCAAAAAGTTAAAAAGCAAAACAAAGAAAAGAGAGAAAAACTTTTTTCCTAGGTTTTGGCTTGATTCATAAACTTTTTTGCTGCTTTGATCCAGAACCAATTAGAGACCGCGTCACTCTTAAGCAGACAGGCTTCCCTGTGACTTGGAAACCCACAGCCAAGGACAAGGCTGTCTCTTTAACCTCCTCTGTACCCCAGGTTCCAAATCCCAGGTGCTTGTGTGGAGGCTGCCCGTCACCTCCTCACAGCCCCTCTCCCTCCAGACCTCCTTGAAGCCACCTGAAGGAAAAGCACCTCCACAGGAGCATACCTCCTGTGCCAAGTCCTTTCTGAGAACACAGAACACCCGAGAATGAGGAATCTGGAAGTCAACTGAAGGACAGTGGCTGTTTCCCAAAGGCCGCCCGGTAGACTTCCACCACTCCCAGAGTTCAAGAAATAGAACAAGGACTTAGGTTGTGTTGTTGCCCTGTTAAGCTAGAGTTCAGCCTCATCAAGCCATGTTGTACATATTTCCAAGGAAGACAATGACTAGGGACCCTAGGGACCTAGAATAAGTGAAATACTCTTTGCAAAGAGGTCAGGAAAAGGGCCGTCTGACTTCCATCCGAGCCCTGGGAAAGTTAAAAAAAAACACAAAAAACGTGTTCATAGAGTCTAGGCAAATTCTGGTTTTGGTCTTTGTGGTACTGGGGATCTAACCCAGGGGTGTTCTACGTCCCCAGCCCTTTTCATTTTATTTTGAGACAGGGCCTCTCTAAGTTGCCTAGGCTGGCCTTGAACTTGTGATCTTCTTGCCCCAGCCTCCCAAGTAGCTGGCATGCACCAGCACTCCCAGCTCTAATTCTGTGTTTTAAAGATCTGGCTCTGGGCAAAATGTCAGCACAGAGAGAACCAGAGGGAAAATGAAACCAAAAGGGGCATGTTTTGACTTCCTATGTGTCTGTACTGACTTCCTATTGAGCGTCCCACAGTGACCAGTACAGGGCAGAGGCTAATGCCTGGAGGATCTACTGAGGAAGATGAGAGCAATATAATTCCAGCCTGGTGCCGCTCCCAGACACACCACCTCACCTGCTGGCTGTGAAGGTGTGGGCCCTGCCACCCCTGAGACGGGAGTCGGCCTGCAACCCCTGAAATACGCTCCCATCAGAAGGCAGGAGGGGAAGCCCTGGCTCGGTCACCAAAGCTGGGTTCTCCAGCAGTTCCTTTCTGTGGAGATGTAAAGGAGGGTTTTAGGGAGGGAAAGTCTCCTAGATTGTCAGGGACGGCCACCTTCGCTCTGCCCTACCTGGTTCTTTCTCTTCTGCCCCATCCCAGCCCCCAGCATCAGTCCTGACCCCAGCCTAGTGAGGGGGCAGAGGAGAAAGGGATCCCTGCACCAATTCTTAGTTTCTTTGCAAAGCCACTTCTGTTTTTAACTCATCTACTCATTTATTTTTATCTCAAAGCAATCTCTCAAGATTTCTTTGTGGTGACAGATACCACTGTAACAAATTAATATATTTCTGCCGGATTTCCACTTTCTTGGGGAGACACTAGAATGCTACACACACACACACACACACACACTCACACACACACACACACACACACACACTCCCTGAGGCACAAGTGCTCAGTTGGGCTCCAAGTAAGTGACTTTTCCAAAAAGATGAGGACTATGAAGAGAGATAGAGAGAGGACCAGAGCCACTTCCCTAGGTGGAAATGGTGCCACCTGAACC